GGTGCAGGAGTCCCAGGGGGGCTGTCAGGGGACGAGAAGCAGGGGGGGACTAGATAGGGCTGGGCCACGCCTGGCTGTTTGGGGAGGCACAGCCTCCACTAACCGGCCCTCCATACAATTTTGGAAACCCGATGTGGCTCTCAGGCCAAAAAGTTTGCCTGTCCCTGTCTTAGACCAAACCTCTCCCTGACCAATTTTCATGCACCTTTACACTTGCTGGTCCTGGTTGGATCAGAGGCATATAAGCCAAAATAACATAAGAAAAGGCAATTTTCACAGTATTTCTAGAAAGACTGAAAATAGACTTATCAGAATTTTTGTGAGAGAGCTGATTTTTGCAAACCAAAATAGTTCAAATATTTCAGAAAAGCATTTGAACTTTGGAGCATTTCACTGATCCAAACCTCCTTAAGGTTAATACAGGGGTTCTCAAACTTTTGTACTGGTGACCCCTTTCACATATTTCAGAGTAGCAGCCGTGTTAGTCTGTATCCGCAAAAAGAAGAACAGGAGTACTTGTGGCACCTTAGAGACTAACAAATTTATTAGAGCATAAGCTTTCGTGGACTGCAGCCCACTTCTTCGGATGCATATCCCTTTCACATAGCAAGCCTCTGAGTGTGACCCCCCCCCCTTATACATTAAAAACACATTTTTATATATTTAACACCATTATAAATGCTGGAGGCAAAGCAGGATTTGGGGTGGAGGCTGACAGCTCGTGACCCCATGTAATAACCTCCTGACCCCCAGTTTGAGAACCCCTGGGTTAATAGTTCATGCCATAATATGGGATGCTTAGCAGTTTCTCTCTTAGAAAAAAAAATCTCCTAGGGAAATACCTATCATGGTAATGATAATAACCTGCCCTCCCCCCTTTGTATTTTATGAACTGTATTTAATCCAGTTTAATTTTACAGTTCTATTTGGGACTATTTTTATAAGTGGGGGAGAAATTTATCACTGGGCAGCACCTCTTTTCACTTCTCATAATCAGTTTTTGCTAGGTTTTAAATTCTAATGGGCTCACATCTTGGATCCATGGAAACTCTTCTGAATTTCAGCCAGGTGCTCCCCGTTCCCTCCTGAACCAGCTGCGTATGAGGTGGGTTGGGGTCTGGCTGGTCTTAGAAGTCCAGTTGGCTAGGACTACGGTGACGTCACAAAGACCCCTGTGACATGACAAATCCATAACCAATCCCCCTACCTGAACGGCGGGAGAGGGGCGGGGTCGAGAGAGCATTGAAGCAGAACGTTGGACTTGTCTCACGGGGACGTGTAAACGGTGCCGGGGATTTGCGACAACCACTCCTCGGCCCGCGGCTCAAGTTCAGCCAGCGACGTGTCACTTATGCCCCGCAACCTCACACCGCATTAAACGCTATTGGTTTTGACAGCCAGCTCCTAATCACGTTCGAGAAGCCTGATTTCAGTGTTCACAAAATAACACCTGAACACACACACGTGTGCGAACACGATATACATATTGCGTTCATTTATAAATATACCGATGTATATAAATATTAGCCATATACGTATTGTACGTATGTGTTTATGGCTGTGTCTGTACCCCGACTACCTGCTGTGTTTCTGTGTGTGAGAGATGGGGGGAGTGATAGCTCAGTGGTTTGAGCATTGGCCTGCTAAACCCAGGGTTGTGAGCTCAATCCTTGAGGGGACCACTTGGGGATCTGGGGCAAAATCAGTACTTGGTCCTGCTAGTGAAGGCAGGGGGCTGGACTCAATGACCTTTCAAGGTCCCTTCCAGTTCTAGGAGATAGGATATCTCCATTAATTTCTATTTCTTTCTTACCGGTTATGCACGTACTTGGCTTCCGTACCATATTATGGGTATATATACGGCTGTGTATAGGCACTTGGGATATATGCACACTGTGTCTGCTTACACAACGTACATGGTGGTGCGGCTGGGATTTATATACTTTGCACGGAGGAGGGCGCGTGCAGCCCTGGCGCCTCGCCGTTGGTTTAAATGAGACCGGCACTCGGATGAGCGCGGCTTCTTAGAGCGCCCGGTCGCATTCGTGGCTTTTTTGAGCCTCTGGCTGTGCCGTACAAGGTGGTTCCTGGGCGGTGCTAGCTGCAGCGCGTGTCTGAGCTCAGAGTCCCGGGACGCGGAGGAGGCCGAGCGCCGCACCAGGGGAGCTGCAGCCCCAGCGAAGGGGCCACACGCACGTAGCCTGGGACCCGCGGGCAGCGAGGAGCCTGCGCACCACCCAGTAGGCTACGCAACACGTGTGTGTGTGTGTGTGTCACACACGGTACATAGCACGCTGTCTTCCTAATGCACTGCCTGTGCGTGTGGTAAAACACACAACACGGCCTATCGAGTGTTTGTGTATAACACACACGTGTAGTGTATTCACTGTAACGTGCACTGACTGCCTAACCTGCATACTATAGTATATACACGAGTGTCCTGAGCATACACTGTGTGTGTGTATATACATCTAACACAGGCAGCCCTCACATCCGACATAGCTTCAATGTAAGGTGTAGGTCTAAGAAACTGCACATAGAATTTAGTTTATAGCTCATAAACAAAGAGTATGTAAGTTATTAACCTATCGAACACATTGTGTATATGACACAGATTGCAGTCCTCGGTACATGGTGTGGAGACCTACTGCAACAATGAATTACAGGAAGGAGATGATGCGCCGAACAGTCCCAGGACAATTCGATGATGCAGACTCCTCAGACAGGTAAGGAGAAAACAGGCTGCCAAGATTATTTTCAAATCATGTGAAAAGTTAGAGCAGAGTTTGTTTTTCCCCCTCACTGACCGCCTACTTGTATTTTTAAGATAGTGTCGAAGAGTTGGGGCAGTGTTGGTGGGATGGTGGGGAACAAGTTTTTTTTTTTTAATACAATGAGGAACAATCTGTTAATGATATTTCCTCCCCTGCTGTTTTGGCCCCTAAGACTTCTGCATGGGTACAGGGGGCCTCTTGGCAGGGCCGGCACAGTCTTGCAAACAATACTTATGAGGTGTAGTGCTTACTGTTAGGAATAGTCTTGCTGACTTAAGTGGAGCCACTCACTTGAACAGTTATATGTGTATGTGTTGCACGATTGGACCCTTGATGATTAAAGATACTTTTTGCCCATCAGGTCCTACTTCACAGCATGGCTGTTGCTTCTTGGTCCTGCAATGACATTGTAATCCAGTGTGTTTTACTCCAGATTCTGTTGCCAAGGGAATAATTTTGGCATCAGGCACTTACTATTGTAAATTAAGTCCAGGAGCAAATATGGACAGGGTGGACTGTGAGGAAAGAGACATTTTGGATGATTATCAAAGGAAAGAAAAATCTATGAAACAAACAAAACATGACTAGATTTAAAGGAATGCTGTCAGGTTAGAAATTGTATGTGAGACTATATATAAAGTCTATTTACTTTTTACGCTTTCTGCTTAGGCAATAAAAATAGATTGGTTTGTTGCAAATTTGTTTATCGGGAGTTTCTAGGCTGTTTCACTCTGTGATTCTCCTGAATTGTTTCAAAGCATGGAGGAGAATGTTTTTGTTTAAAAAATAAAATTGTTTAAATAAAATCATGGAAATATTTCCATTATGTGTAAAATTTGTGAAAGGTTGATTTGAATGGGGAAAAGTTTTTTCTTTTTGTTTTTTTGTCTTTGTTTAACAAAACCTGTGTTCAGCACATTTGACATTCCCCAGTCAACCTGTAAAAGTCATTGCCAGGGGATGTTTTGAGGACAAAAGTATAACTGGGATCAAATAAGAAATTAGATAAGTTCATGGAGGATAGGTCCATTAATGGCTATTAGCTAAGATGATCAGGAATGCAACCCCATGCTCTGGGTGTCCCTAAGCTTCTCCGTGCCAGAAGCTGGGACTGGACTAAATAATTGTCCTGTTCTGTTCACTCGCTCTGAAGCAGCTGGCGCTGGCTACTATTGGAAGACAGGATACTGGGCTAGATGGACCGTTGGCCTGACCCAGTATGGCTGTTCTTGTGATCTGGAAGGATCCCCATTCTAAATTGAATAGTAGAGTTGTCAGCAAAGGATGGAGAAGTGCAGTGGGGAAGGGTTGATAAATTCTTAGGGTGAAATTCACCCCTCTTCATCCCGTATTGGGTCCACGTGAGACCTTCTGCCCTACTTGAACCCTACAGATCTACCACTGTGGCATGTGAGAGCACAGTGGATATACACAGAGGCCTCCTCACTCCTTTGCTTATCATGTAAGAAGGCTCTGAATTTACGTTGATGCAGTGGCTCAAAACCCCAGTGTAGGAGGTGCTGAGGGGCAATGCTAGGTCATAGGCTGGAATAGCAACTGTGGAAGGGCTGTGGTGAATCTGTGGCTTTCTCTGGATGTTAGAGGTAAAATCCATCTCCCAAATTATCCTTGAACTTCTTCCAAGAACCCATTTCCTCAGATTTTGCCTCAGCGAGGAGTAAATTTCACCTCTATAGTCTATGGTCTCATTTTTCTATTGCACTTGATGAAAAGATCTTCTGGACTGCATTTGCTTATGATAAATTGATCTGGAATCTAGAATTGGTATGTCTCAGGCTAAGGTGATATTCAGATTATTTTTGAGGTGGGAGGGAACCTTACAAATATCTGAGGGTATGTTTATATTGCGATTAAAAACCCTGCAGTGTCGAGTGTAAGCGCGAGGGTCAGCTGATTTGAGCTCGCAAGGCTCATGCTGCGAGGTTAAAAATAGAAGAGTAGACATTTGGGTTCAGGCTGGAGCCCAGGCTCCAGCGTGAGCCCAAATGTCTACACTGCAATTTTACAGCGCTGCAGCCTGAGACCAAGTCAGCTGATCTGGGCCAGTTGCATCCATGCTGCATGTCTTTTATTGCAGTGTAGACATACCATGAGGTGACTAAGGAGAAATGAGAGGTACATGGGAAGCATATGAAGAGATCTGACAGACCATAGGGACCGGGCTTAGGATGGATCATAAGCGCTCATAACAACTAAATGTTCCTTTCTGGGTCATCAGTTTTAGTGCTAGATCTGTTGATCTCTCAGACCGGGGTATTTGTTGAGCTTTCTGCAGCTTACTGGTAAGGTCCAGTTTGGGAACATCTCAGCTAGAATCCTTGCCTAGCCTAGTTTGCTAGGACAGTGGAGTGTGTCTGCCTCTGAAGAGTGAACAGGATGGTCTTTTCTAGTGTAGGTGTTCGATAGGAGTTCCAGAGAGTGCCAGATATCTGTGATTCACTGAACAGAGTAGATGAACGAATTACAAAACAGCATTTAAACAAAGGAAGAAGATACTTAAAAGTGCTATAGTAAAAGTGAGCCACCATGCAGAAGAGCTCTTCAGGGCAGGTGAAATAATAAAATATTGAACCCTTGCTATTTCATTCTTCTGGATTACTGTACATTAATTTCACAATGATTCTGTACGGGGTTTATTTATTTATATATGGGGTTTATTTATATAGATTTTTTTTTTTAAAGTGAATTGACCCAGGGCACGGAAACAGTTAAACAGGAGGAGGTAACAGTTAAACATCAGCAGTCATGTTTGTCTGAGGAAGTGGACACTGATGAAATTGAATATGACGATGATGATGAGGATGAAGAGTGGGACTGGGATGATTCAGCTGGAAGACTCAAGCGTCATACTGCAGCTGGAGGCTGCAACCCACAGGTACATTAGACACTTCCAGGACACTTTTCAGAGTTTCTAATAGCAAAAGGGACTAAAGCAGGACACAATGATATGTGAATGTGACCCCAACCATAAATTCAAGTTGGGACTTCTCACTGCACTCTCAGCTTAGGAGCATCCCCATGCCTCATATCTCTCCTCCTCTCACACATAAACACACACCATGTACCTCCTAACCAATGCCACCCTCTTTCCATGCCCTGGTGGTTCTCCTTCCTCAACTCCTATTGCTCGGTCTTGCCTGTGGCTGCAACTCTGTTTCATTCCTTTGGGGTCTCAACCTATCTCCCCACCCTGATATCACTGCGATGTCCTCCTTTTCAATATCCTCCCTCTGTATTCCTGGGTTTCTGTCTTTTCCTTCTCACCAGTTTGTGAGACAACATGCTTGATGTGACTGGGGAGTGTGAGGGCAAGCATACATTTTATATCATTAGTAAAGGAGGCAAGTAAACCTATGAAAAACACCAAAGGTGAATGGATTTAGAGGGGACTCTATCAGGTTAGAAATCTTGTCTGAATTACTAGCTTAAATAATTAACCCACAGAATTTGAAAACTAATTTACCTTTCACTATGCTCTCAGCTTGGGCAGCAGAAGGAGAACATTTCTCCTTTTCTCTTTGACATAGGCACATCAGAGTTTCTCTGGGAAACTGAAGGGGAGGAGTTACAGAATGTTGTGGCTGGCACAAAACATATTTCCTGGGCTACCTATTTCTGCCTTATGGGCTTCTGAAGGAGACCTGAGGAGAAAGGAGTTGTGTGGTGTGTGCTATTTAGGGGCTTATGATGGGGATCTGGCTGGGGCAGACATTGATTGGGTCTGGAGAAGAGTACCTAGGGGAACTGATGCCTTTTTGGCAAGCCATGCATGCCCCTTCTTTGTTCTCTCTTTTTGCTCTGATTCTTTCCCTTCTCAGTTTTTCTCCCCATCTCTCTCTTGGTGTTTTCTCTCCTTGTTTTCCTCATCACTGGTGTTTTTGTTCCCTCTTGGGAGCTAAATTATGCTAGTTGACTGAGTGACAGTCAATCCCCTGATTAACAAGCACCTTCTCCTTGAGCTCTTCGCTAATAGGATTTTGAACCCATATATGTTTTTTGTTTTCTCTTAACTGAAATCATTTCCAGTTCTAAGTTATTTCCGTACCCTGACAAATTCTGATTTTCTAAATGCAGATAAGATTGTACAGGTGTTTAGAGACACGAGCAGATCAAACTAGATAAACTGATCTCCCGCCCTGTCCCCCTCCCCCAGGTACTGTGTGTATTTAGAAGGACTACTTAGGGAAGGCAAATTTATGTAACAAATCCTTTGTTTC